CATGTCCAAGTCTGACTCGAGGTATCACAAGACAACCAAAATCCAACCATCATATTTTGCTGGCTACCAAAGATTGGATCGGAAGTTAATTGCACTACCAGTGCGAGAGCTATCCTCCGTTTCCAATACCGACGGGTACACTACCCGTGGCAGTTATTCTTACTTTAAGTAGTCCTTGTCAATACTCGAAAGCAACCAATTACAAGTCCTTGGTAAAGCTGCAGCAATATAACAGTAAACTAAGCATGAAATCCAGAGTTTCCCCGTGTAAAACACGGCATTGCTCCCAATAGCGATGAACTTAAGTATATGTGCTCTGGTTTACGACAACGAACAGAGGACTCCGTTGTGAATTTCTCGGTGTACGCTCGGCTGTAATCACATCAACATACATTATAACGTCGAGAGAGAGAGAGGGAGAGAGAGAGAGAGAGACCTTATGGCGGAGAATGACAATTTAAGAAGGAAGCGAGCCACAGCAACGAGATGAGTTAATGGGAAAAGGTGTGTATTATGTGTTTTCTCTATTCCCTTTACGCTCCGTCGACATTCCATCTATGCTTGCTGAGCGTAGCTTCGAAAGACAATAAATTACTTTTGTATTCCGAAATTTATCGATGATATTGCACTTGGCCGCCACAAGCAACATTCACGTGTTTTGCATGAGTTGTGCCACGGGTATATATAAGGTATCAAGGAACGGCATGACTAAATTTAGGATCTTGCTTCAGATATGAGCAGAATTCACGTGTATTTAATATCAGGAGAGAAAACCAATTATATTGGGACTGCAGAGGAAGTTGACTTCCGAGAGTATACAAACTCTAAATGAACGACCGTTCACGTGTCCCTGGTCTGAGGGGACAAGTACTCACTTGAGGGTACGATTAAGACTGCTTGTATTTATAGGTAAACTTAGCTTGGTATCTAATACAAACTATAAATCACCTATACTGAATCTATGTAGATATGCAATGATTGGCTCCTAGAGCCCCTGGTACCATGTACCAGGTATTACAAGAGTGACTGGTCACTCTTCATGTAACTTGGGTACACAGGGGTTTGTACCCCGTTACAACTATCCAGTGACAATCTTATATGACTAGTATTAAAGCCAACAGGAGTTATTTGCAAGGTTTGAGTAACTAGAGTAATTTTGAGCTCCTGGTTATAGAATTCTACAGTAGTTTTGGGTCAGAATGACTCGACTCCTAAAACTCTGGATTTAAAATCCAGAGAACTGATCACCGCCGCAAAAGCGGTGATCATTGATGACGATCTGTGATGATGTTCACCCAGAAAACGGTCACTGGTGCAAAGTGAATTTGTCAGACGGGTGTGTTCATCCAATCAGAACGCGACGAAAACTTTGCGCGCAACCCAACCTGATGATCAGGTCAACTACTGCGCTCGAGAACAGGCGTCCACCAGCATTTCTCTGAAGCTTTAAGTAGACAGCGACGGCATCTTGGTAGCCATTGAACCTACAAACGATAACCAAATATCTCGGACATGATACGTAGATAATATATTGTATCCTCTAGCCTTGCGCTCACCTTGCTTGATGATCAACGTGTTTCTTCAATTTTGGGAATACGACTGCGGGTACAGTTTCATTGCGCGCTCTCCGAGAGTTGGGCTATCGGACTGTACAAAGACAACATTTTATGGTATATCGTAGCTACCTTTGTGAGATCCAGAATATAGTCGGCATTATACCTCGTACAATTAACATGGTAGCCGACCGAGCATCGCCACAGTACATGCTGTAAACATGTCCGCAAGTCTGACTTTAAAAAAAGAAACAGAATAAAAAACTGTTTTAATAGTTTACTCGGTGTCCAAACTTAAGATTTTGTCGTACGGAGGAATAGCATTTTAAATCTATTAAAAGATGTATATAACTGAAAAATGAAAGAAAAGATATGCCAACATGCTAGCCATCACTGAAGCGGTCTCCCCCAACATACCTATTCAAGAATTCAAGAAGTGACGAAAGGCTTCGAGCCGGTTCTCACAATCCGATTAGTTGTTCAAACGTTTCCGGGTGTTCAGTATTCTGTTCTTCCTGACCAATGAAAGCATCCTTATGCTGTTTTACTATGACTCGCTTCTGCAGATGTCTTCACCGTGATGTAGGTGACCATTTTTGGATTTACCCCCAGGATTCCACCCCGACACCTCTCACCATGCGCTCGCTCCTGTTGGTTGTTCTCTTAACATTGATCGTTCTGCTAGCCATCACTGAAGCGGCCTCCCCCAACATACCTATTCAAGAAGCGACGAAAGGCCTCGAGCCGGTTCTCATACTGCCTGTCCGAGCGTTGTCGGCTGAGGATAGCATTAACAAGAAAAGGAGACTCCGAGGCGACAGCAACATAAAGACCATTGAAGATATGAACGTCAATGGCGAAGAGCGCGCGATGTCTCTCTCAAGTATTTTGGATCGTGCAGAAGCATTTCTAGTCCGGATGGAAACCAAAGTGTCCCCCCAGACGAAGAAATTGAAAGATAACATCGAGAAAAATGTGATGGCATGGCTTTACAAATTGGGAGAAACGCCGACGACTCTAGGAGCCAAGCTTCTGGGAAGTGACAACTCTCTTGTTCGCAAGTACAGAACTTGGTGGGAGAAGGTTCGCCCGTCAGTGCCCAAGTAATGTCGTTGACAAACGTAATGTCTCGTATGATTCAAAGGTACGCCTCACTAGCGCCGTTGCTAAACCCCGAACAGAATACAATCTCCATTGTTTAGTCGTGTGCGGATTTTCGGAGGGGCCCTGTCTTCTTCAAACGATAGCATTATTGTTCTACTATGATAGCATGCTTTTCACAACAAAATGGCAGAAAGTGAAAAAGACAATGACCCAGCAAATAATATTCTTAGTAAATCGAGTTGGAAAAAGTATCTACAATTGCTTTTTTTTTTACGAGACCCCCCCCCCCTTGTAGTACATTTTTTATATTTTAAATGGTGTGTTGTTTTTTTTTCGATTGGGTCTGCTGAATAAGCTTCGTTGACCAGGACTTCGTGCTACTTGCATCTTGACCAAATTGCTGTAGAATTGTAAGTAGCTCATTTCTTGGATCATCGTCGTGCTCAGAAGCACTGGACAGAGACATTGTCCGTTCAGAATTAACCAGGAGGAGTCTTTGGTTGTCCTTGAAGTTGCAGAAGATGCCAAATATGACCAATCAAACGCAAGTGTGATCTAGTGACTTCGTTCGCACTTCCAAATCGGCACGGCTATTTAAAAAAAAATGGTTTTTTTTTTCTTAACGGATTGGACGCTATTTGGCCTTGGTATCGCCTTCCAGGTGGAGGGTGTTCATAATGGCCAAGCTATCATAGTTAACCTTGAGCCCCTTCCTTTGAGGAAAAATCTTCTGACGTGCTTAAAATCATCAGAAATCATCAATTTTTCTCAAATGCTCGATTGTAAACTGGGCAGTTATGTGCATACACACTTAGGGGTTAAGTCTTAACTAGAACGAGCAGGCTGTGAATAGTGTAGTCGAGGGGAAGCATTTTCTACCGAAAATGAGACGTAAGTTAGCTAGCGTAGTGTACGTCTACGTGCTCTACTAAAAGAGACGGTTCTGGAAGGCGTCTAGAAGTGGTTCACCTTAACTTCCGCTGTCTGCTGGCTGCAGTACATCATTAAGAAAAATTCTCAAACTCGGGCAACCAGCATCATGAGATTTTGGGTGACGTTATTGAACATTTCCACGGGTATTGCCGAAATTCTTCTGCGTCTAAGCCCCGTGCCAGATATGTACAATGTCCACCGCAGCAAAAGTGTTGGGGAAGTGGCTGAATTGCCGCTTATAACAATGGTGATTAGCTGCCACCTCTGGTACGTTCACGTATAACCATGGGGGATATGAACTTTTCACTGAGCTTGGTGCGACGTACCATTGCCACAGGACAACGTATGGCTACGCGACGAACAATTTGTTCCCCATTATGGGCTCTCAGCTCTTCGGTGAGGTCGTTGGTATCATTTATAACATTATCTACTATCGCTGGAGCCCCGAGGAGAAACGCGAACGGCTCCGCAAGCTCTACGCGGTGGCCTTAGCAGTGTGGAGTATAGTAACGCTGTATGTGGCGCTCGGAGTATCGGGTGTATTCGGCCAGAACAAGGATGAGGTTGGCACGTCTCTCGGATACTTTGGCTGTGCATTTAGTCTTTCAATGTTCGCATCCCCATTGGCCACGCTTAAGCACGTCATCGACACCAAATGCTCCGCTTCTATCCCGATTTACCTTTGCACCATGATTCTGGTGTCTACTGCGCTCTGGACAGGATCGGGACTTGTAAAAGACGACTATTTCGTGGCAGTGGTCAATTTATCGGCGCCTTATTGGGAAGCACACAGATCGCCATCTACTTCATATATAGACCTCGAGCGAATGAAGACGTGGCGTTGGAGCTAAATAATGCGCCGTTCATCGCACTGTCTCCTAAGTCGAAGACACGGCAGCATGATGCTCGTCAGCAGTCCTATGTTCAACAATCCTTAGCATGACAGCATGACGAGAGGTATAGATTACATAGGGAGTCGTTAGTCTACAGCACTAACAATAAATTACCACAATGTACCTCACTTAAAAACGAAACGAGAAGTATAGATTAATCGTTCGCATGAAAGTTATTTCAGTTGACATATACGTTGCACGGATTACGTATACCAAAGCATATCGACAAAAGTTTAGCTCACTACTGTATGACATCACTAGTATTCCGTAAACGCTTGCTCTGCTAGCATTCCTGTTTGCAAAACTGTTTGTCCTATTGCAATTTTAGCTGACATATTGGTGGAGTTAGGTCGTTAAATCTAGCTGTTTAAGATGCAAGCCATCAGACCTTCCGACAGATCTAGGATTACATAAGAATACCGGAAACACGCAGGATTTTAGCCTATAATCTAAGTTACTGAAAGGGCGTGCACCAGGTCAATCGTTAGGCGAAATTTTGAACGAACAAAGAACCCAATTTGCTTGTAAATATCGCTTACAGTTAATACTATATAGTATGTGTGCCGTAAGAGTTACAAACGAGCTACTGCTGCACATACAGACTGGATTTTTCAACAAGTGCTGGATTTTGTTGGTTTAAGTGCGAAAGATATGCTTTCGCACGGAGTTTTTAAGCTGCCAACAATGAACTGCACCATCGCATTCAGCTCATTTCAAATAAAGATTTTTGCGAGTTTTTTTATGCACAAAACTGTCGCTTCGGTGGCGCCTCTATCTCATGTTAAATTCTCCGTTCAGAGTATCTGTAAAACAGTAGTTTATATTTGTTGCAAAGAAATTCTCTGAAATTTATTGGGATCCGATTGGTGTTTCATTCCGTGAAATAACAGCCCGGGTATACAAGCATTAAATATACGATGGGTCAGTACAAACAAAGCCGTGCTGGCGCCCGGAGAAGCTCTGGATTTTATTGGCGCTTTTCTATTTCAAGGAGTTTATA